AAGTGGATTATTAATCGACTAAATTTTAATATTAATTATTTATACAATTGTTATTTTGACTAATTTGAATTATATAAATTAAATAATATAAATAAATTGACTGTTAATCGATTAAATTTTAATATTAATTATTAATACAATTATTATTCGACTAATTGCACATTTAATAAAATATTAATTAATTCTATAATTCATTATTAATGAATTAATTCAAAAAATCAATCTTACATGAAATTACATAAAATCAAAATATAAATAAAATAGAACAAATTTTTCCATTCTATCAAATAATTTCCATTTCAATTTGTAAATTCAATTTGTAAACATTGATGGTGATATCGTGTTTAACTATCAAATACTTTTTTTGGGAAAAAGAAGGGAGGGGGACTGCTGGCTGGGAATATCGAATAAAAAATTTCCACTGGTTAGTTTTGGGGTCTCTAACCGATGCCATAAAAAAAAAAAGAAAAGAAAAGGAAAGGAAAGGAAAGGAAAGGAAAGGAAAGGGTTTTTTTTATGGTGTGAAAGAGGGAGGGAGGGAGGGAGGGAGACGATCGAAAGAGAGAAAGAAAAAGAGAGCATTGACTTCTTTTGAATACATCAGAAGAATGTTTACGATGAAAATAAAACTACGATGTGCATGTGCATGTGCATGTACACGTGTCTTATGTTTTGTTAGTGTGTTTGTAGTGTAATAGTATATTGTATTGTATGCGTGGGTGTGAGTAAGAGGAACATGTGCATGCACTTGTAAATGTGAGTGGAAAATTTCGGCGTTCTCTCTTCTGTATCATCTCGTGACGAAATAAGACGAAGAATTAAACAGAAATTCAGTCCATGAGAAAGAGAGAGAGAGAGAGATAAAGAAAAACATAATAATAATAATAATAATCATAATAATAATAATAATTGTTACAATAACGAATGATTGAGCTTAAGAAATGCTTATTATAACAGAAGCACGAATTATGCAATTACTATCATTAATCGTCAAGTGTCCCTGAGTTGAATTAATAGTTCATTTTTCATCGAAAGAAATATCATTGACACACTACTTTGTTATTAATTAATTAATAAATAATCAATAAGAATAAATTAAATATATATATATAGTATGATTAATGATACTTCTTATGAGTTACTGTATTTGTTAAAAATGTTAAAACAGTGTTTAGAAAAAAGAAAAACAAAAAAAATGAAGAAAGATATACAGTAAGGAAATATATTTATTATGATTTTCTTTTGTTTTGTATTGTTTTGTTTGGATCATTGATTTTATTAATTTATTCAAATCTATTCAAATATATTTAAAAATCGTGATGAAAGTATTAACAATAACGACCATGTTAGTTATAAAAATTCATTAAACAAATATGCTTAACATATTGTTTATCTTTTCTTATCCTTGTATGATTTTTCAAGGAAGGAAAAAGTCATAAGATAAATTTATCTATTTTAATTGTAGTTTTATCTATACTGTTATTATATACTTACGTATGTGTACATGTATATATGCATTAATAAATTGAAGTATTTTATACACACTAACTAATAGCATTGTGTTAGGATATAAATAAAAATTCATATGTTACAAATACAATTCTACGATTAAATGTAATTTGTTATTCGAATTCATGAGATACACATATATGTATATAAATACTGTATAAATACTGTTGTATATATATATAAATATATGTGTATATAAAAATAGCAAGGAGAACTAATTTATTTTAATATATATATAATTATATATAATTATATTTCTTTAAATAGGCATGACCAAATAATGTAATTACATTATTTGTTAATTGAAACGTCTATTTCATTTCATTTATAATTATTCTTTTATCATATAAAGAGAAACGTTTAATGTAATTTCTTTATTTTCGTGAAACTTTACTCTATCTCGCTTTTAATAATTTTAACAAACGATCTGTAATATTGAAAATTACAAGAACAAGAATAGAGAAAATTAAACCAACAAAATGAATTTAAAAAAAAATACTATAAGAAAGATTATTGAACATTAAATATTAAATATGAAATATTAAATAATAATAATAAACAAAAAAGACAAAAACACTATTATAGTTTATTTCAAAATTTGAATTATTTTTATTATATCAAAACGAAAGAATATTTTTCTTAATATAAAAAAATTGATCAGTCAAAGATGATATTTCGTTTATAAGAAGTGAAGAAATAATCTCTACACGTTGTACAAGTTCTGTACAATAAGGTCAGACAAGATCAAAGGTATAATTTACCGGTTTTCAACTTGCTCAGACGGTTCTTATAGAGAAACTTGCAGTAGAAAATAAAAATAAAACTAAAAAGAAGAAAAGTAAGAAGAATAAGAAGAAGAAGAGAAAATCATTTTAAAATCGAATCATTCGATATATATCTTTAAGGTCAAGTTCAATAAATTGATTTAGATCAATCTATCTATCAATTGAATAATAATAATAATAATAAAAAAAAAAAAAATAATCACAAACAAAATGATATATAATCTCATTTTGTTATAAATAAATATCTGTGTTCAATATATTAATCAATATTAACCTTATAAGTGAGATCAACTAAATAATTGATTATTTATTTCACAAGGACTGATGAAGATGATTTGATTTGAACAATTGTGTATGTATATATATGTATAAATATGTTTAACATCATATTACAATCATAAATATAGTCAATGACCTTTTGAATAATAATCGAATACAGGTGTTTAGAAAATCTTTGTAGTTTACATTCGTTTCTTCATCCTATTTCTTCTTTTTCTTTTTCTATTATTATGTTCAAAAATTGTGACTCATTTCAAAATAGAAAATATTGACATTGTATTTCTAATTACTTTTTACAATTGTTCACAAATTTCCTTTCTAATTATTATTAATTATTATTATTAATATAATTTTATATTTGTATTTCTATTTTATATATATATATATATATTTAAATTTAATTTATAATTTATAACTTACAATTTATATTTATATTTAATATAATTAAATATAATTATTTATATATTTATTAATAATGTATTAATATTACATTATAATATTATACATATATAGTAATAAAATATTATAATAAATATTAATAATGTATGTATGTGTATATATGTGTAGAGACACGTATTTTACATTAATCTAACTGTAGAAAATATTGTAAGTATTTAAAATACAATGAATAGAGAAATTCAAACGAGGACAACACATTCGTCTCATTCCAAGTGAAAGGGATTTGCTAAACTAATTTGATTGACATTTAAAATAACTCAACCAATTGTTGTTTTAATCACAAATCAAAGGAGAAAGAAAGAAACCTTTTGATTTAATAAATCTCTTTCTCTTTAACTAATGTTCAATTTATTCATTTGTAAGGTTAAACTATTAAAATTATTTCAATTCATTGTAAAACGAAAAGATCAAAGTTTATTAGAGAAAATTCGTATTCTTAAGAGTATCTATGAAATATATTGATAATACAATTAGCAAATTAAATTACTAAACAAAGTAAGGGGTTGATTGAGTGAGTGGAACAAGGGGGTGTCTTGAATTTTTATAATTAAAAAAAAAAAAGAAAAGAAAAGGAAGAGACCAAACAAAAGGAAAGTTTGAACCAACCTGAAACATTTGCTGACGTTGATCCATTTCTGCTTATGACC